TGCCTAGTTTTATCTAATTAACCATGGTTCCAGCACAATTTTTTCGTCGTCAGAAGTGCGGGCAATACCTCCTACAATTTTGTTGACCCTGTATGCCCGCCGAGTTCCTTTGAATATTTCACTTATCTATCTTGGAAAGGTTGTACGGGACGTGGTCTCCACGGGTGGCGCAACTACCGATAACGCAACGTTTCGGTGAATGAAATTTTCTTCGTACTTTCCGAACGGCCTGATGTCATCGCCCGCAGATTTGTGACTGATAATGCTGGCCCATGTGAGTAGACTTCATCTCGGACGTACCAAGAGTTGAACAAACTTTCCAGGGTTCTTACACTGGTATTGATGTTTACCTTCTTCTCTCTTACGCTGGGCTCACTAGAATCCAACTAGTCACATTGATTGGCACCTAGACATCGGCCTGGCGGTTGTAATGGCAGAGGACACGGCTACCGTGAACAAGGAAACCCCACCGCGTAAGCTTTCAACTCGCAAGGTTCCCATTCTAATTCTTTGAACACAGCTTCTTGGAATGAACTCTGCCCTATCTACAACAACCTGACCTCCAGTCAGCTATAATGCCCTACTTGGTATACTACAGAAATGTTCATTCTCTAGTTGAGTAATTATTGGGTCAGTTAAACACCGCGAGGCGAGCAAGTAATAAACTCGCTCGTGCCAGCACAACCTCCTTCATATCGAAAACGGCAAAGGTATTACTATCGGTTGATATCCAGTGCCCTTCTCGATCGACTACTTGACTCCAAAATCCCAAAGTCTAATCGAAGGATCGAGCGGCACTGGCGTCGGACGTGCTACACGCCGGCGGACATTAACTCCCTCCACGTTATCAGTATCACCCTCGGGTGAATCCGACTCAGAATCTTCATCGGTGGGGGTATGGAAATGTCTTGACCCCGACACAGAAAGAATTGATGGTGTCGTTGGATGGAAAGATACCGACCCAATTGCATCTGCATCGCGTAGGGCATGAGCACGGAATTATGAACGTCAGTATAAAATGAAAGATTGACCGGTGTGAGCGCTGTACGTCAGGCGCGGTGTGCCGATAGGAGTCGCGGTGTCCGCTTCGTTCGACGAAAGATCATAAACAGAGACAAAACCGCCCTGAGAGACAATCTGAGAGAGACGCGCGCTAGGAGAGTGAAAAGACAGACCTGGTCGCCTACGGCGAGGAACCGTCCCGCGACATCAATGTCAAACCTCCGCTTTTGGTTTGTATCTCCTGCCGGTGAGTCGAGTAGTGATGGTTCCGACGAATAGATCTTGAGCGGCGTATCGACGTCCGCGCGTAGATCCCAGCTGTATATTTCTCGCTTCCTCCTAAAGGCCGCATATAGGATGTTTGGCTGCGCTGGATTGAAATGAAGCTACGAGGAAGTGTTTTAGATGTGCGTCCTGGCGATGCAAACCTCGCCGCACCTGCGTAACGCCTGCCGGGGGACCGCCGCTGACGAAGAGCACCGGTACTGCACCATCCGACTCACTGAACATCGCGATATTTCCGGTTGTTGCTGCGAGGCTGCCAGCCGCGTAGAAATCCGAGTCGTACGAGGGCGAGAAGGCCAACGAGGATATTATGCCTGAGCATTCGAAGTGGGTGATTTGAATGATGAAGAACTAGATGGATCACCTTTGAGCCCATCTCGGCTCTTTTTGGAAGGCGAAGTAGGAAGGCGCGTCCCTTCTCCTGGGCGTGCGACGTCAAAGACCTCGATCGCGTCCTCAAATCCACAGTACAGTCTGAAATAGATTGAACCAGGACGTGGATGTGCTAGTCAGGTAGAAAAAATACCTGGTCGCCGACAAATTGAAAGCAAGGCTGTGGGGCGCAATCTGGCGCTCACGGTGATCCACGATCGGGTACGATGCGCGGAGCTGTACTTGCATTAGCGAGGAGGAAATGAAAGACGTGATATGTGCATCACGTACGCACCCGTCCATCCGAAGCATCGAGGAGCTTGACTGGCGTCTCCCGCACAGACGCGGCGAAGCAGAACGAAGCAGGATTCGAGGCGCTTGCGGTAGGATACCACGCATAATCTAGTATGGGCGCTGGTTGCGGCAGCGTTCGCTCGAGCATCTCAGAGGTTGTATGTGATGTCGTGCCTGTAAGTGATATTATTGGTTGATTTTATGGAATTTCGAGGTCCGAAACTTACTCGATGCTGCATTTTGTATATCCGACGCGCTACCGAAATGTGGGCGTTGGAACATCATCGGTGAGATCAAACTTACGGTGAGAGAAGCCGGAACTCCCTATGCTCACACTGAGCCAAGGCTGCTGAACCGTCAGGGCACCTACAAACCACTTGAGGAAACCGATCAATTCAGCCAACCATGCATACCATTTCGCCGAGCGCGCAAAATTGCCTGGAAGAGATGAGTGGGATGAGACATCCCACGAGCCATTACGCTTTGGGGCTCCAGAAAAGTCGAACTCGGGAGGCGTCCAGGTGTAAACAGAGGAACCATCCATTTGGTGGTGTGTCGAGAAAGCGAAACGACAAGCAACGCCACACAAACGCGTCGCGTGTTGCTGACCGCAACACGACCAAATATTACTTACATGTCGATATCCAACTTCGCTGGAGACGAAAATATTAACCAGGTTGCGCAAAAGCCATCCAGTGGCTTATGGCTACCAAAGTGGCAATTTGTGACAAACTGGCTAGATATCTTCCTGAACCTTTTGGCCCCAGATTGTTGCCCGGTGAGGCTTCTATTGAGCCAGAAAAAGTCCTGGAGCGAGTCAGCTATTTTGGCTAAAATCGAAAGCCATACAATGGCTCATATGGCTTTGCGCAAACTCTCTATTACATTCGATCAGTACTCAAGCCGCGTTTAGGGCCTGAGAATGTCTTCCACGGCTCCACTCTGCGACCGCCGCTCTGCTGCGAATTACAGTGCTGTTCACACTTCTGAACCGCAAGTTCATGGAGACCTAGGAGAAGGCGCATGGCAGCGCATTGATAGTGCTTGCTCTGGAGTCTGGAACATCGCGGGACGGCGTTGCCCGCACAAAAGGAAAAGGAAAACAGAGGTGTTACTATCGACTACCGGAGAAAAATAGGCCAGCGGTCAGGGGCGACTTTGAGAATCGAGATTCCGGTCCAGACTGCAACGAATTCCATTTTGACCGTAGAATATAGTCGAAGGGTTCAGTTTCAGTTGAGATCGAATTAACATTGGACCCGGCGTCCGCAACTCTCAGAGTGAGTTAAATAATCAAGGAGATTGTTGATGTCGTTCTCCTTCCAAACGAAACCAAATGACAGCTCGGGCCCCGATTTTTGACGAGAAAGACGTGATGGCGACGAATCGATACCAGGAAGATAATCGGAGATGCGAAGAGGGTAACCCGTATTGATACATGCATGGTGATAACGGGCGAAGTGGAGCGAACATTACAAGTTGGGAGGGTCAAATCGCCCGGGTCCGGGGATTAGCGCAAAAGTCTGAGGTTTACATATTTCTCGAAGGCATACAACTGCGATGGCAATGCTTACATTCAGCTACAAGCGGCCTTTGCCAACTCATCCGCCTGAGAATTGTGCTCCCTCCCAACGAGCCAAAACTTGACGTCCAAGCCATCTTCCTCGAGCTTCTCGATCAGCGCATCGAGTGCTTGAAACTCGGCCTTGTTCTGAACTGGTCCGCCGTTCGCGTTCTTCCAACCGTTTTCCTTCCACCCAAAAACCCATTCAGTCATCGCGCCAACGACATACTGGGAGTCGCATAACAACACGATGCAGCCCACGCCGAAGTCGGTCTCAAGTAGAACCGAAGCCTTCTGCAGGGCTTTGGTGGCCGCAAGGATTTCCGCGCGCTGGCTCGTCTGCGTCCCCGAGATGGATTCGGAAACATTGTGCGGGGAGTTGGGACCAAAGAAGATACCCACTCCCGCACGCGCCGACGGTGTGCCATTGCCGGAGCAAGCGCCGTCCACAGAGATGATGACGGTACGCTTGTCGAGGATCTTTTTCTGCGGCTCGCGAAGCACCGAAAAGAAAACATTGGAGACGGGAGAGGACCAGGAGATGAGATTTGTGGGGCTACGATCCGAGAGAAAGCGTGCTGGCTCGAACGTACGAGGCAAGGTAACGGTGGTATTCCCGAGATGGTCTGTCGAGATGGAGCTTCCCGGGAGAGCGCTGGCGTGGGCTTCGCGATGGGCGTCTGGAAACTGGCTGAGGAAGGCGTTGGACATCTTTTCTAAGTCGATGTTAGGAAGATCCGGTAACAATCCAGAATGTACAGACTTTTTGTGAGAGCAAGGAGAGACGATGATGGACGATGATAAGCGAGTGATGCGATATCATCGGATCTACTCCGGCAGCTCGGCATGTTCAAGTTACGGTTCAAGTTTATGTTCGTTGATGTTCACGGTACCGTTGCCAAAACTAACACAAAAATTGATATTGTACGATGAGACCTAGCGTGTTGTAACGCTGGGGGCTCATCCTGTCTTTGTTCCGAGTAAATTTTGCAACCCTAGCCTGCAGTTTCGGCGTGGTACTGTAGAGTTTCTAAGTCGGCCAAATCCGGATTTACTTCTACCCGCCTGAAATTCCGGAAGAGAGAGAGACCGATGTGCTCCAAGCGTCCGGTCTCTTTCTCTTCAGCATTTAATGTTTGCACGTGTGGGAATGGAAAAATAAAGTACTGGGCTTACCTATTTGGACGTGGAGAGCAGTGTCTCTACAACCTTCGCACCACCTCCTTCCGGAAGAGAGGCTATGTTTCAGATCACATCCGAGGTCCCCCAAAATAGACTGGGAAGCGAAAAAGGGCTGACTCTGTTCTCAGTTCGGACTCCCTGCATCCGAACTGCAATTCGGACGTGTGACCAGATGGGATCCGAGGGGAAATCCGAGAGTCCGTGGACACTACACCACGTCCGACTCTATGTATCCCCGTTTTATAAATCGACGGTTTTCCCTGGTGGGCGTTTAAAAAAACAGGCCAGAATCCTTGATGCATTCAGACGCGGGGATTCGAACCCAGGACTGGCCCTCTTGACGTATTTCTGAAATTCACAAGGTGGTGCTGGAGGAGGCTATGTCACCACAACACCACGTATGACTTCCTGGACTCAACACCCCCTGATTCTTTTCATGTTGCAATGTGGAGTACTGCAAGTGAAGTGCCCCCGACAATTTATTCGTTTGCTACACTCCACAAATTCAAGAGGCCGTGTCTGTGTTACCACTGTAACACGACATGTACTACTACATGGGATATGCGATCAGCTCGCTGAAATATTGTCCTCGGCCCAGCGTTTGACGCCATCTAGTCATCGATCCCCGGCCTAAATGAAACTTCGCCGATCCACGCCTCCCAATCGGATTGATATACTTAAAAACTCTTCCGTAACTCACTGAGGTGATTGAGATTAAGGGAGACTAAGTCGGCCACCCATGTTGGAACCGATCTCATCCTAGTTCCACCAAGGCTGTCCTCAGGTTCTAAATCGATCATGTCATCTAGCTGAACTTGAGCTGAACACCCCGACCGCACATGAGATATGCATTTCGTTTTCGGGCTCGAGGCTATAGGGTTGAAAGAATATTCTCATCTAACTATCACGCTGCCCCGGGCCAGAGTCCCGCACTGGTTTGAACAACGTGTTGAAAGTACAAATGCTGTGCACGCACTGCCCACTTCAACAGCTCAGTTCTACAACATTATTTACAGCTTGTTGTTTTTAGTATTCTTTCCATAGCTCTTTACAGCCCTTTACAGCCCTTCTCTAGTATTTATTCTGTACATGTTCAAATGAATCCCCGCATGTTTGCAACGGGCTCACTGCTTATTTGGAATCTCGTCCTAGAAATCCAACACAACGTGCGTAACGGCATTTTCTCCTGAGCAAATTTCCCCGGCAGTAAATGGCGCATAAAAAAATCTCACGCTGGCTACCGCCTTCTTCGTGGCTTGACAGCTGCTGATTCACACACGAGATCCAAAGCTGTATATCACCCTCCACTACCCTACTCAATCAATGCCTCTCCACCGCTTCTTCACACCGAAGGGATTGTACTCGCCCGAAGACAAGGCCGCTATCGCTCGCGCTGTTACAGGCATCTACCCGCAGCTCCCGCCATTCTACGTCGTCGTGCTATTCATAGAGTTTGACTGGGAGAGCTTCTTTGTCGGTGGGGAGGCCACCAATAAATTCCTGCGCATCGCCATAGAGCACATTACGAGGAATTTCCCTGAGTTAGTATCAGAAGCTGCCTCAATTAATCTGAACTAAATACGAGCGCATTTAGTGATATCGATACGCGGACTAAACACCAGTTCATGGACCGTTATGAGAAGGCCCTGGAACCATTCACGAAGGGCCGAGGAATCAACTGGGAGGTGCAGGTTACTGATGCAGATGTGGGATTATTTCTCCCTTGTGGGTCTCAAATGTGTTGACATGAATTTTTGAAGCGGAGACTCTGGAAAGAGAATGGAATGGCTCCGCCTCTGCCAAATACCGAGAACCAAAGGATTTGGAAACGGGAGAACCGCGCTGTGTCTGTCGCGGAGATGGAGGTGTTCAAGTCACAGGGCCGGAGTGCCACTCCACATTCAGACACAGGGACTCGAACTCCGAACTGCCCCCACCAGTAATATTTTCCGTTCCAACCCTGATTCAAAGAGGCCATGTCGCCATAACACTATGACTGATTGCTTAGTCGGCTCCCCACGCCGGTACTCGTTACTCCCGAGGATCTTTTGTGCGCCGACTCTATCGATGCTATCGCGAAAAGGATTGTCACTATAGTCGACACCGACCTGCAGCTCGATATCGACCGCCTGGTGAAGACTCATATGCTTCATAACCGATTGGAGCTGGGTGACGATAAGTCTCTATCTCTCGTCACCCGCCGACTTCGCCACTATCTTGTGATGGTCGCGGTCCCTGCGCATCGTAAGGCAATTACCGGCCTGTTACTCGGGGATCATAATCTGGCTGTCGAACGCCTACGGTATCCTGTCCGTTACAGAGAGGCCGTACCACGCCAGCACAGGCTATGCAGACTTTGTCGGGGGGCGGTGGAGGACGAGGTACATGCGCTCTTCGATTGCGTTGCTAATCCTCCGTTGCTGGAGCTGCGAGCGCGCTTCCTGGATGCACTGACTTTCTGTGATCCGGTGATGCGCGCGTCGTACATGGAGATGTCGACGTACGACTTCATGCTAAAACTCATTGCATCAAGGAAAGCTATTCAATCCTTCGCGAAGTACATCTTTCTCGTTCTCAATCTCTTTCAAGAGTTCCCATTATACTTCCCCGTCATTTTCAGAATCCCTGGAGAGTAGAGTTTATTTACCCGTCTTCTTAGCTTTATCGTGAGACTCTACTGGCTAATTGCAGCTAGGTAGATGTTCACAGCGATCGGGCGGTTGATGACTGTAGCGTACAAAGGACACATTGTACGTCGGTACAGTACCTGCTTGTTCCTTATTGGGACCACCGCAGTAATATATCCTCCTCCTCCTCCTCCTCCTCCTCCCTTCATTGTTCCTTATACACATAGGACCTAGGTGCCTCTCAATTGGCTGTGTCAAATAATTGAAATTCAACTCCTTTGACTGTACCAATTGCCTTTCCTCAATTACACACATGCCCACTCTCTCCAGACGGTACGTATCTGAACTTTCTTCTAATGGAAAACCCGAAAAGTAGAAGAAACAAAAGACTACCTTGCCACTCCTTCAATAGGGGCAGTCAGACTCGGAGTAGAAATTAAATACCTGATTCTGAGTCGATTCTGACGCCGATTCTGAAACCTGAGTCGATTCTTGGAATTATTTTAAATCAGAATCGATTCTGCGGCAATTATGCGACGATTCTCTCGCACTTAAATAAATCAGAATCCGCGTCAGAATCAACTGTCAGAATCGCCTCAGAATTGTGTAGAATCGTCTACTCTGACTGCCCCTGTTGTAAAATTAAGCCTGTCTGAAGTCTTTAAACTCGGCTTTAGGCCAAATCAGTCCAGACTTTTGGATGAGCCCCAAATGAGCACCATGTGCTAAAAAATAGAGCACTTTTGACACCGAAATCAGCCTAGCCTTCTCGATGAGCACCAAGTGAGCAGCCAGGCCAGCATGAGCAAGTGCGCTATGCACAGATTCGTTCAAATCTCTCCAGCTTTGGAAACTGACCGTGAGAATAGAGCCGCGGAGTTTGTTCCCGAAATTCTGGAACCATCTGCACGTTTCGAGAATTTCCTTCATGGTAGACTCGGGCTCTGATGGCATTGGATAACGGCTGAAAATTCAAGAGGTGAGCGAACAGGTAAGCAAAAATTGAGATAAAAAATTATGGGATTTTATGTATTACTCGTTGTGAGAATAGTGGTTGACTTTCCATAAGCATAGATAGATGCTGGGGAATATTTATGTGCTTTGCCGAGGCAGCTGTCAGGACCCCATCAACCGGAGAGCACCAAAAAGGACAGGATTTATTCTGAATTTAGGATAATCTGGAGGGGGGGTAGGTACGCCCTCTACAGATTTTATTTAACTGAATAAACTGCTTTGGGCAGTCAATGCATGAGATTAGCCTCTGCTTTGAGCCCCGAACTTCGGAGTCTTCGTTTAACACCAAAGGGTCAATACCTTCAACCTCTAGGCCAGCCTGCGGCCCTTGTGCAAGGGGAACCACGACTTCGAATTTTTTATTCTATTCTTGTGGGAACGCAACAAATTAATTCACGACCCGAATTTCCGGGGATTGATGCCATCACTGGCACCCTCAAGTAAGCTCAGAGAATATTCTAAGCTTGTGGAAAGTCACCCAGTGTTATTTACGGCAAAGAATGGAATTTCAATGAATACTTGTTGGAATGGTACCGGAATTTCGAACTCCGCTCTATTCTCACTAGTAAATAATCATTAGTCCGATATCAAGGCGTCCTTGAGGTTTTGCGCGAATTCAGCCTAGTTAGGTTGCCTGGGGCCCGGCCCTGGGCTATACAGGTATATCGTTATCTATCGTTATCAAATGATATATCAAAACATTGTTTACGCCTTCTCCCGAGCTGTCAGCGGTACAGCCTCGTGAGTGCCTCGTGCTCATTGCTTAAAACCCTCTCTTCCCCACCGTGAAGTACCCCGCGTTCCTTCATGAGCCTCCGCAAAATCCTCAGAGTCTTTTGGAAACGCAAGCCACATCCAATCTCATCTCTCCCTCCGGAAATCATCTCCAAGATCTTCGTGCACTGTCTTCCTCCTGATGACACACCGCCTGCCCCTCAGCTTGCGCCGCTCCTTATTGCACAGATTTGTCGACATTGGCGTGCGATAGCTCTGGGAACACCGGAGTTGTGGATGAATATCTATTTGATCGGTGGGCTTCGCGAGCAGTCTGCGTCGTTGGAGTTGTTGAAACTCTGGGTATCGAGGGCGGAAAGCCTACCGCTCAAATTTGCGCTGATGTCGCAGAGCATCGAACTGGGCAAATTGCTCCTCGAGACTGCGATGGAATTTCAGCAGCAGTGGGAGGAGATCGCAATCGTACTACCGGCCGCTGCATATTCATCCTTGCGTAGCCTCGCGGATGCCACCTTCCCAGTTCTCACCTCCATCTGGTTCCAAGTCCCGAGGCGAGCAACAAAGGAGATGTTGAGCCCTTCGGAGCTCCGTGCCTTGGAAAATATTGTCATGCGCGCCCAAAGGCTGCGCGACGTCGACCTTGCTTCACTTCCTTTCTCTCAGTATTTTCCCCTCCCTCATCGCATGCTCGACATTCCGTGGAATCGGCTAAACAGCCTCGTAGCAGAAACGAGAAACTCGGAGGAGGGGCTATCCCTTCTGCAAAGCTGTAATAGCCTGACCATCCTGACGCTCAGAACCTGTCCAGACAGTGTTCCTTACATTCCACGGGCGATTGCATCCAACAATATCACCCTGGCATTCCTGCTGGATTTAACCATCGACGACCCGAGTCTCTCAGACATCTTCGACCACTTAACGCTCCCAAGTCTAACGAGCCTCCATCTCATACTTTTTGGAAGCTCCGACGACTTTCAGCGGATGCAGAGATTTTTCTCTCGGTCGAATTGCCCGCTTCAGACTTTTCG